AATAATATAAATATAAAGGAGCCAGAATCACATAGTTAATGTTAAAACCAATAAATGAAACATATAAAATTATAGTCAAAACAGTCAAATGATAATTTTATATATGTTTCATTAATTTATTGGTTTTAACATTGACTATGTGATTCTGGCTTCCTTTATATTTATATTACTATATTTATTAATTTTTATTGCGATACCGAATATGTGACTTATGTTTCCTTTTATCAATTGTTTTGCGGCTGAAGAAGACTAAGTTGAAACATGTACTGCTTCTTAAAATTTTATATTACAAGATTAATTAAACGCTGTCATCCTCGTTATAAAGTGCTCATTAGTCTGGCCTTCATTAAATTTTTTAACATTGTAACATTTTTGCAATATAGCTGGAATGTTGCTGCAGCATTGCTGTTATAATCTGTGTTTGCTGGGATGGTATCATTCCATAAATAAGTATGAGAAATGGAATGTGTGGAAAATTAGAACAATTATTTTAAGATATGTTTTTAGAGTGCGGTGAATTTTCATATCGCCTGCTTTTACAGATTTCACCGTCGCATTTTAGACAGCTCATAATCATCGTTGTTCCGATTCTACTTACCTAAAGCTACTTTCACAAAGTACTACTAAGTATTAGAATACAGACTTTGCGGGATAATCGTAACGTTCACACCCGTCATTCATATTATGCAGATTTATTGTTGAAGAACGACAGAAGCAAAGTTTATGCTATATAATGTTAAACATATTTCATTATTAATTCTTATAACGCGCAACTTCTTCGAAATACGTACGCACGCGCAAATCAATTATGTATTATTAATATTGCAGAGCATGGAGAAGAGAGAACAATGAAATTGCTCATTATAATAAAATATGAACATTCTGCGAACGTTATTCAGCGTTGCCATGTCCAAACGTGTCTTCTGTCGGAACAATAACCATGAAAATTTTACGTTCAGTCCGCGCATATCATGCAATTACGCGTAATTATCTCGCACGACAAATTAACTAATTAACTTTTACACGGTTATCTGAATGAGAAAAAAACGAATAAGCATAGCAAACGAATAGTCATCTTAAGTATGCATTTTTCTCCCGTTTTCTGATTTCAAGTTTGTCATAAAGAACTGATAAAGATTAAAACAAACCGACCATAATATCTTTCTTTCTCTCTCTTACCTCTCCTCTCCTGCGAGCCGCGATTTCGCGATTTTGTTTAACGAATTCAGTGGCATTCATGCGTTCACCAAACGGGTTCATTACGATATTAATTGCGCGCGCTTTCACAACCGCGGCGAATTGTGAACGCCGCGTCGTAAACGAACAATTCCACACGCATCCATCACACAAGCGCTTCTCCCGTGAGAATGAAGGCGTAGCGGCTCCGCGCCGCAGCGCGTCTGCATCGCCATGATCCGGAACCAGTCTCTGGACTACGAGGAAAAAGAAACAGGTAGGCGCGGACACACGTTCTTCCTCAGAATTTAGATTGGCTTTCCTCGAAAGAAGTTCGAGAAATCCTTGTTTCCGTTATCGGGGAGACCGTAGGAAAAAAGATGACTGGTGGACTCTTGTATCTGTCTGCATCTTTCGTCATGTGGCTGGTTTTTATGCGATTTACAATAATATTGAATCAGTAATACTGATAGTATATGCATCAATATTTTTATAATCTTTTACGATCGGTATTATTGATAATTATTATAAACACTTCCTAAAAAGTATATATATTTCATTACATATTTTTTATATGTATATGTATATAAAGAAACATGTATCATTCTTTGGTCATACGTTTGAAATGTTCAATTCAATTTTATGGATATCGATGAATTTTATACATATCGACAACCATAAAGCGACTGCATTTATTTGCGGATCAGATCTGACAAATTTTAATTCAGAGATGATATATATAACGATAAAATTATTTATTTATAGTACGGCACTGAAGATGATCGCCTTGTAGGTCAAAACAGTTGCGATCAGTTATGCTACATAATTTGTTTCTTAATATTATTATAAGCATTGTCATCTAATTCGGTTTATTAGTCCTCTTTGTGTTTGTTTTTTTATTTATTATTGATAATGTTTTAGTTTTATATACTTATGCTATGCTGATGGAAATACTGACATGCCTTTTTTTACAGATCTCACACAGTCAATAATATTGTCAGTATTTGTTGGTAATAGTATTATTAACCGCATTAATTAAAGGAAATGTTATTTTTATCGGGCCGAACAATTTCGAAGATTCATGAATCACGAATAGATAACAAACTTTTGAATAGCTAATTTTTATTGAAATTTTTTAACAGAAATTACATTCGATAAAATTATGTTTGATATATTAAAAATAGAAAACAACTATCAGCAATCTTCGTATAAGAAAACTATCGGATTAATATCCTATATATCTTCAGAAATCTTTACTTCTCTTGTATTTACTTCTGCTCGCTAGAAACTTTTTGAAATATATCAAACTTTCTTTGAAGAGATGCCAGGATTATATTTAAGTAATATTATATCGAAAGCTATTAATTATATCGAAATTCTAAAAGTATAACTAACTTTGCCGAGATAGCAGCCAGCAAATTATATGCATCGGGCCGTTGACCTATTCGACAATGTCGTATCTCGATGGAAGCTAAATCGTTTGCAGGATGTTAAGATCGATCATGGTAAAGTACTTATGCACATGCCGGCTCACGTGAGCGACGAGGCCAGACAATCAGCAGCTGGCGTGGCTGCCGCCTTTGCCGTTTTTACACTTAGAATGCCAAGAATATACCTGCCATCCGTCCACTGGCGTTGTCCTCTTTGGTGTATTACACATCGAATTTATCAATGTACCATGAGCAACTGCTTACGAGTCTGTGAGGCACCCGATAACATCGCGAATTCGTCGCCCCGTCACGAATTTTACGGTCTAATTTTAGATTTCTGCCCGGTTTGCTGTTGCTTGATTTTATTTATGATTATCTCGTAATATTGGCTCTTTATCATTACGGAGTCTTTCGGTCACGAGATGAACTAAAAAGTCATCGCTTCGAAGGAAATTGATAATCTAATCCGATAATAGTTCATATATCAATAAAGGATTTAGAAAAAACTTCAGATTTAAAATTTCACACTTTGCAGTATTTTTAAAAATAAATTCTTCAATCTCTTATTTAATTTTATACCTTTCAGTGATTTCTATCTTCATCTCGAACTTAACGAATATCTCGTTACGTCGAATTAATTAATTCAGGATTCATTCCTAGTCAGGAATATTTCTGCGCGCGCTTTATTTACATTAATCTCCCTCTCTCATTTGCATTTCTTTATTTTCATATTTCTCATTCCATGTATCTTTAGTTCCCGTTTTGAACCCGGCATGTAAGATCTGACAGGATTCGTGTGCGCTAATTTCGCATTTTGCACGTCCTTGGCGAGGTGCTTAATGACGATTAACAACTGGCGGAATAGCATCGGAAGACACGTGTTTTTCAGCAACATTGCAGCCTCTTTTCCCTGAATCTTTTTCGCGATCAACGAGACTGAGCAGATTGCGGTGATCAAATAACAATCGACGAACTCGATCGTACGTACATGCTTTTTGATACGTTTTACCGTATTCGCTGCGTCGTTTGCGCGCAACGTCCATACCGTTACGTTCGTTTGTAGGAAAAGTGCATTGTCCGGCGGTTTCGAAAAGCAGGTTTCAGGTAAAGTATGCGTGGATATTTTATTGACAAAAGTTTTCCGCGAGCTCTTCAAACGGAATTTCATTGACATTGACGAAATCGAAAAATGCTACAAGAACGAATCGAGAAGTCTGTTCAATTCAATTTCTCTTACTACACTTCGTCTTACTTTTCTTCTTTTCCTTCCATAAACTCTAAATATAAATCTATTTCATTTATGCAAAGGTATCCGATGCGTAAAGCAGTTAAAACGGATAGCCGACAGATTTAGATCGCGACAGTTCTTGGTGGACAAAATGCAACTGTGTTGCGATATACACTGTGTTGCATGATGCAGGAAAATGCACTCGACAACAAGATGTTATATATAAAGTGGAATTATTAAAACACATTCGGCCAACCAGATATTGTTAGCGCGCTCACTTTGTTTTCTAATTTTATTGCGACTAATCAGATTAGACTTGCAAATTTTTGCACAAATCTGAGTTTGAAAATTTTGTACGAATTACAATTATAAAGAAATAAGCATGAAGCAAAATATGCAACCATAAAAGAAAATAAATATGAATTTATAATTTAATTTATATTTTTTAATGATTGTTTTTAAGTATAATTCATTAAATATTGCTAGCACGTATATATATCGTAAAATTTCCAATTTTTTAAATATTTTTCTACTCGCACAAAAAAATATGTTTTCAAAGCTTAAAGAAGTCATCAAAGTCAATCATGTTTGAAAGACGATCCAATAATAATATAGGAGTTTCAAAAAGTTTGAATGAGATCAATGGTTCACTAACCAAGACACTGCGAAAAATAAGAAAAAAGCAATATCCTAAACCGAGCTCTAATATTTTTATTAATTTTCTATTCTTATGCTTTTTCACGTGATTTCTAACATGTTAATAAAAAAAATTATAAATTAATGGTTATTTATTTCTTTTTCTTTAGCTTACGAAATATTATTAATATGATGTAAATGTCGCATATATTCAGGATTATTCTTTTTATAGCAACATTTTCCATACTTTCTTGTAATTTTTCCTTCTCTCCGAACGTATACCTATCTCATTTAATATGTAGAAAGTGGTAAGAAAGTGCAGCGCCGAGATTAAATCTGTAATTTACGAATACATTTAATGCTAACTAAAAATACATTGCGATTTTCCGAATGTTCTTCAAGAAGCTGTGTTATTCGAGTCACCAGATATAAGTTATTAAAGTTATTCAATTTCGGATATCGATCAGATTTTCGGCGAGATACCCTGCCGCATACACATATACATATACTTCGTTTTCGGAGATAGTTACCTTACAAGTATCCGTGATGGTCATGAGGATATGGTGAAGTCGCATAACGCGTGATATCTTTGAGTGCACGAAGGCGCGGAACATGTCTATCACCCGGCCGCACAAAGCGAGACACACGAACGTTTAATCGATGTATAAAAATCGCGCCTCGTCCAATCGCGATGATAATCACAACAAACGGTTAAACAGTTTCGCGAGAGAAAGAAAGGAAAAGAGAGAAACAGACGAGAAACGAGGAATCCACGGTGACGAAGGGAACGCCGAGAAAAAGATCCGTCTCGCGACGATGCCGTCCGAAAACTCGTGGTAGGTAGCGTGGTCGTGCGGTGTGCGCTTGTGATGCGGCCGTCACGGTTTACTCCCACTATCGCCATCGCAATTGCCGCCGCGCCGCTGTTGCCGCCGCTGCCGCCATCGCGCCGCCGCCGTCGCCACCGCTGCCGCCACTAGCCGTAAGCCGCCGCCACCAGCCGCTGCTGTCGGCTGTCGCCGTCGCGCTGAAAGTTAATTATCACGAAGAAGAAATCCTTCGTGTTTGACCTTTAGAGTTCGTATCGCTAGCGCCTGCAATGTACAGTCGTGCGGACATATCGATTGCGACACTTTTTTTCATAGGTTTTTAGTATATATTTAATATATATATATATAACATATATATTTTATAGATAATAATATTTTGCAAATACGAATGAAGGTGTCTATCTTTAGTTTAGGGACAGTAGGTACACCATTCGTGGTTTGCATTTGCAAAATATTAGTGCGTCTCAAAACCTATGTAAAAAAAATGTCGCAATCGATATGTCCACGACTGTACACATGCCTCTGATTGAATCTTGTAATAAATTAAATAAATAAGAAGGCCAAGAAAGGAGTACATAATAAAAAAGATGTAAAAATTAAAACTTTAGTAAAGTCATAAAATACAATTCTAGAACGTTTCGAAATTCACAGGATTTATTTTCAGCTAGCATATAATTGAAAACACGCAGTAAAATACAATAAATAAAAGAAAAAGTACTTTAAAACATAAAGTCAAAATAATAAAAACGGATTACAGCAATTAAAAGGCCGTGTCAATAACAAATGTCAAAAATTGTCAATAACAATTTTTGACAATTTTTATAAAACAAAACTCACAATCAGATAATCTTCTTGGCGTCGGGAAGCGCACGTGGTCAATAGTCCATCGTCAAACGAAGTCGTATTGTTCAAAATTTCTTGTGCAGTGGCGAGGAAGTGCTGGTTTTCTTCAACGGTACGACGAGAGAGTCATCACGTTACATTCTCGGCGGCGTCGCAATAATAAGATAGAAGTCGGTTAAGAACGGGTGAACGAAATTGTTCAAAAATTATAAAATTCAAAGATGCTTGCAGACAACAGCTCGGATATTACTGACTGACTGAGTTGAATCTTGTAATTGCATTGCTGGACTAAGGACGAATTTTGTCAAAAGAAATTGCCGTTTCTACATTAACTTGTTGCAAATATCAATTTGATCGTTTTTTGAAGATTTTGAAAGTAATTGCTCAGATAGCAAGTCTGCAGAGACAAATTTTGAGCAGAGTATATTTCCAATGTTTGATGGCAGAAAGACAACACATATATTGCACACAGATCTGTAAAGAATCTATCAATTGATGTCAGCAAATTACCATCATGCAGAAATATGATAAAGCCTGCTGACATGCAGCAGATTGGTGGCAGAAAAGACCGAGCAAAGTCTGCTGGCAATTTGACGATAAATTGGTAGCGCAAATCGAATAGAATCTGCGTTATCTGCGCAATATAATTTGATAGCAGATTGGCAGCAGAAATTGAGCAGATCTCTCGCAATGTTGTCGTCAGATTATCGACAAAACCGAGTAGGACTTGTCACTGAATACTTACAAGACTGCTGCTATAGCTGTTGGTATCCGTTTCTCGCATTTAAAATTTGTCGTACTCTCTATATGTATGTATAACCAATATCTAATCGAAGCTCGGGTATGTCATAATTACTTATGCATTATTCATGTATATACATTTAATGCGAAATATGAATATGTTTGCACCAAGACAACTAATGAGCATAAACTTAGAAAATGATTGCTGCCATGTGAGTATAAAGTCGACAAAAGTAAAGATTCTTTCATAATATCATTACATAATTATAATATTCCCAGTATAGATATGCTTTAATATAAAATATATAAAGATTTTTATTAATAAAAATTTGTTTGAAATTATTCCTTTAAAATAAAATTAAAAAACAAAGAAATATCATTTTTAAAGATCTTTCGCTATTAGTTCGATGTCACAATTTAAATATTTACAAAACAAAATCTGCTCGATTTCTGCTGTCAATTTGCCAATCAGATTCTGTTAGCAGATTCTGCTCTGTTCCTGTCGCTAATCTGCCGATAAATTCTATTAACAAGTTCAGTTTGGTTTCTGTTGCTAACCTGTTGGTATAGAATATTAAAACTCTAGTAGCATTTTCTGATGTTTTCTGCAGAGCAAAATCTGCATACAATTAATTGCAACAGAATTCAACATTCAGCTACAAGATTCGTACACCGTACATGCAAATAAACTGTTTGTAGATATTTGCTACAGAAATCGAACTATCTTGAAGTAGATTCTTCCCGTAACTGCAATCTGTTAGCAGTCTGTCAGCAGACTGATATAAGATTCTTTCAGCAGAAATAATGTGCAGATTCTGGCGAAAGAATGCTACAATTCTTGCAGCAGATTGTTGACATATTTTTTTCAGCAGGACGTTATGATCTATTTCCTCAGATTTACAGTAGTCTTGCAGTAAATTGCTACTGGGGTTCTGTCGACAGAAACAGAAACAGAATGCGACAGAATGCGATTAATTAATGTCAGTCTATTGACATCTGTTCAAATCTGTTGCTAGTCTGCCGACATTTTTTTGGCTATCTGGATGATTATATATGTAATAAATAAGTAATATATAATAAACGCTTATTTCTTAATGTTAAATTAATGTATTGGTTTATTCTTTTTAAAAGAAGTTCAATGGGTTTATTGTTTGTTTTTTATTAGACCCATTTTCACAATGTATGGTTATCTAAAGGTTAAAAATTACCAAGAAGTTTATTGTTTAACGACGTTTGATTAGGACTTAACCAGTTAACTTGATGTCAACTGATGTACACGTAACCTTTAGTTTATTTGATTTTAAGCTTATGAAAGTGTGTTTTAATTAACTTTCAAGTTTTAGTTAACTTTTTTTAGCTAACTTTTTCGTTAACCATATATTATGAAAATGGGCTTTAGATATAGCTATGGATTTTGATGTCTTCAATCAATTTGCGTCGATTGCCGAAGATGCTAATATTTTTGTGAAAACATGTTTCCATACGACATGTTTGCGTATGTATATGTTATGAAATACGTGAAAGATTCATGCATCTTTATGTTGTCCGATGTATATGTCGCACATGTTACGCGTACATTAATTTGATGCATCAACACACATAATCGCGCGCCCAAGCACTGCTCGTGCTTGCTTGTTCAACGTAATAAAAGAGATCTCTTAAGAACCGCGTGTCCTTTCTTTTTTTTTTTCTTTCAAGCACCCTCTTCTTTCCCGCTCATTCTCCGATACGCACCTTCGTCGCCGCATGCTATATACCTACTCCGGAACGTGACGCATGGCACGACCCGACAAGATCAATGGACTGGACGGCTCCGAAGAGCGTTTCACGCGCAACAATGTGCATTATACTTTAGATTATTTATACACGGAAAACATTTTATAGCAAACATTACTATAATGCGGTAGAAACTGCGGACCATCAGGTAATTATAAGTTTAAATGCTATAGCCATTTTTTTTAAATAATAATGTAATGTAATTTTTATACTTTCTCATAGTAAAAATTTTTATATTACAAAGACAAAACTTACTGGATAAAAGTTAGTATTGTAAATACAAGTAAAAAATATTTTCTGAGTAAATTTTTGCTGCATACCATAGTAAAAATTAACTCTTTCTACTATAGAATGTGGCTTGAGCGCCGGTTTCACAAAAATTACTGTATTTATGTGACAAAAATTAGTGTTGACATAGTAAAAGTTATGTCGAAACATTTGAAATTCAACTCTCGTTGTTAAGAACTTATGGGGAAGGAAAATAGACTCAAAGGAAGTAGGATAAGTACGTTACTTGTAAGAACCGGCAGAAACAATCAAACGCTGCAACCGAGTCACACTGCTTAACGAGAGAGAAAAAAGCTTGGCTCTAATCGATATTAATATTATGTTTAGTTATAGTGCTCATTTCGTGTCATTTTGTGTCGTGAAGAAAGCGAAAGAATACGTAACCCAGACAATTCATATGATTCAAAATTGAAACATAAGATGTGTTAAAGCGTCGACATCTTAGAAACATCTTTGCGAGAAACGTCTGAAAGATGTCTATAAAAGACGTGTCTTAGAGATGTCTTGTGTCCTGATTTTGGACTTTATATTGTTTGATTGTGAGAAGTATTCGATTTGCAATTTTTATGAATCTTGGAATTCTTTCAATCTAACCAATAGGGCAATAGATGATACATAATCTATCATACATTCAATAAAGATTATATAGCTTCACAATAAAAATTATAACTTTGACTTACAAATTTTTACTATGTCAAATATTAAAAAATTGTTAAGGTGAAGTTAGTTTTAAATTTTACTATGTTGTGTTGTAATTTAATCTATAAAGTCATGATGGTTCACCGATAATACAAAAAATAGTAAAATATGATTCGAAATTGTATTAAAACTTAATATAAAATTTTCTCCGTATATGTATACTTCATATTATATCGCTATACTTATCTTGCATTTTATAAAATGTTTCATAATTTGTGATCTTAAGTTTTTATGATTTTTTCAACTTCGGCGATCTGCACTCTATTTTTCTTTAGTAAGAACATTAAGGAAATTTTTAGATGAGGATGTATGTGTCATGTCTAAAATATTACTAAAAATATATAAAACTTTCATAAATTATTCTATTATTATATCTGAGTATTTGTGTGAAAATTTGAGCACAATTCTATTATTGATTTAAAAGTTATTTAATTTTTTATTTTGAATTTTATGTAAAATTGTTTTATATAGTATTTATTTGCGATTAAAAAGTAGGATTACAAATTAAATCAAAATTTTTACATATACTAATAAAACTTTAATAAATATTTGTGCAAAAGTTTATTTAGATTTATTTACTCATTTAAAAATTATCCTACCTAAGTTACAAATTGATCAATGCGCTACATAAGCCATTATAAGTCAAATTTCGTTTTTTTTTATTTCAGGACGTATTTATAACCAAAATTTTTTGTCATTGATTAAGAAAAACTATAAGTAAATGTTTTTGTTGCAGATATTAAAAATTATTTTACAATAATTCAACTTCTTATGTATTTATTTATTTCATATATTTTATATTTCAAACAATATAAACTTAAAAATCTGCAAATTCTTAATTTTGATAATTTTTATTTATAGCTATATTAGTAGCCTAATTAGTAATTACCTATCCTTAACATGGTAGATACTTTTAAGTCTCGCGAATTATGTTACAGTTTTATTAAAAACTGTGAAATTAAAAGAATCCTTAATTTTTATAACTCGATACAATTATAAAAGACAAGACTGTTTTTTTCTTGTACAAAAAAATATACGATGATTTGTATATTTATTTGGTTTACCAAGACTTCTTTTAGACAGCGCGATAATTTCATAGCATATTCTTTCTTGCATTTTCTTGCTTTAATAGGTTCTTGTGTTATTGAGTTCATTTAATATTTATTAGTGTGGAAGTCCTCTCTGGTACGTACATACGGAAGGATGCTAGTACTTCGTGTCCTTGTCAATAATTAAATAATTAAATAAACAACTACTACACGTGATGGAAATTTTCGATTACTGTGACACATTTCAAAACTCACCTATACATTTTGCAAGTTTCTTTGATAATTCGTTGGCATTATTGTGTTAAGGTTTGCTTGAAATATTCACAAATGAAAAAGAAAAGTAGAAGTATTAAAATATTTAAAAAACTGTTTTTAAAGAGAATTATTAAAAATAATAAATATAAATATATAAACTTTAAAAAGTATATATAAAAAAATATTTAAATATATTTAAAGAGATTTGTTTTATTCTATTGTACTAAAATCTTTTTAATTGAAAATAAGAGTATTCACAGGATGAGAGACCAAAGACGAGCGAAATGTAGGTGTCAGTTAATATTTTAATATAACTATGTGATTTTACATACTCTAGCTTCAACGAACTGCGAGCCGTTACTATTAGATTCAACGTAGCTTAATTTGATTGAAACAGAACCGTATCATCACGCTATTAAATAATAATGAGTACTTACTTGCATCTAATAAATCATCCCCCCCCCCCGTTGCGACGCCAAATAATAATTTTATCATAGTTATAGTTTACCATAATTATATAACTCTTTCTCTCTCTCTCTCTCTCTCTGACACCTACATTTCGTTCGTCTTTGGCCTCCTGACTTTATTGAATAATAATTTTATTTGGCGTCGCAACGGGAGAGGGGGGGGGTGATTTATTAGATGCAAGTAAGCATCAGTATTCATTAAATTATTTAACAGCGTGATGATACAATTTCTGTTCTGTTTTGTTTCAATCAAAGCTGTGTTGAATCGGATAATAACGGCCGCAGTTCGTTGAAGCTAGAGTATGTAAAATCACATAGTTATATTAAAATTAACTGACACCTACATTTCGCTCGTCTTTGGCCTCTCATCCTGACTATTGTTTATAATAATGAGATGGTAAATTATTTATTTGAAAATAAGAGATTGTTATAGTGTTTATTAATTTTAACGAGTTCCCACACAGCATGCTGTCAAAATAAGAACTTTAAAAGAATTTTTTCAAGGAAACATTTTTATTTTGAAAATGAGGTCCAAATAGTGTCTCATAAATTATCATTTATCTGAGGCATCTATTCTAAAAAAAATTCCTTAAGATATTATTTGTGATCTCTCATTTGAGAGATTTTTTGAAATTGTTATCTTTATGCTATCACCATGCTAATGATTATCAGTTATCTTTTATGAAAGATATCATTATAAATAAATGAGAATATTATAGGCTCTGAGATAATAAATCAAGTAATTAAATAAATGCCTTTTAGACCAACGCAGTTCTTGTAACGTAAATGTTCCTTTATATTATAAATTGCAGCAGACATTTCAATCCTTGGATTGGGTCCTCCTCAGTACATGTATCTTAAGGTGATTCTTTAGTAAATCGAGTTACGACAGAAATGTCTAATTTTTTATATAATGAAGTTGCAGTACCGAACTTGACGTGTGTAAAATTCTAGTTAGTCATCGATGAAATAAGAGAGAAAAAAATGTTGAAAATGTAACTTTTCACTTTTTATTCCTCACTTTTGCATACTAAATATCATTTGTTTCATATTATTTCATTAGATATACACGTAGTTTTAATATTTCATCCAAATTGTGCAAATTTATGATTTTGAGTGGGCCCTGGTGAGGAACCTTAAGTAATTTTCGGCACTTTACTAAAGAATCACCTTAACAAAATATGACTTTGCTTCAATGCCGCAACATAACTTCAATATTTTCTATTCGCTCCTTCATTCGTGGTTCAATAATTAGAAAACTGATATGTCAATTTGATTTGGTCAATGATTTGGTCAGTTAAAGTCAATGATAAGTATAATAGAAAGAAAGAGCAAATGTGTGACAAGATGTGGATAGTCTCCATGTTAATAAATAAATTTATTCGTTAACCATACTTTGCGGAATCATATTTTGTTAAGATATGAGGAAGGCTTAATCCAAGGATTGAAACGTCTGCTACAATTTGTAATAAAAGAACATTTACACTACAAGAACTGCGTCGACTCTAAAAAGCATTAATTTAATTATTTGAGATATCATTATGTTGTGTAGTTTCTGAACTACACAAACTGTAGTTTATATTATTTACGTACAGCTCAGAAATCAGACAGTATTATGATATCTTTACCAAGAAATCTATTTTAAGTCATTTAAGAAGATATTAAAAAGATATTAATTTCAACAAACAAACCTAAACAGTATACAGGGTGTCCCATTTTAATGTCCCACCCCAAATAACTTTTTTATTTTTGATTTTAGAAAAAAATGTTTTAGACAAAAGTTGTATGGCTTTGAGGGTATGACATAAGAGTTGTATGACATAAGATGATAACATTGGTTTGATCCTGAGTGGTATCGTTATAAGGTCAGGACAAGGTCACTTTGAATTTTTTAAAGGGAACCCCCTTTTTCATTTTTCATTGCATATTCTTGTAGTTTATGTCGAGAGCTTTCCAAAACACATAGATAAAATGTATTTTGGTTAAGTAAATCTTGAGTTAAGTTGAAGCTTGAAAATTATAACAATACCACCGGCATTAGCATTATCCAAAGTGTCCGAACAATGGCTGAAATCTTTTGAATGTTGTTCAGGATCATGACCTTGACAACATGTGTCAAGGCCACGATCATTGAAGGTTGTTTCTTTTTTTTCAAAAAATAAAATAATTTTCAAAAATGAAAATAAGGGAAACAATCTCCAATGATCATGACCTTGACACATGTTGTCAAGATTATGATCCTGAACATTCAAAAGGTTTCAGCCATTGTTCGGACACTTTGAATAATACTAATGCCGGTGGTACTGTAACTTTCAAACTTCATAACTCAAGATTTATTTAAGCAAAATACATTTTATTTATATGTTTTGAAAAGCTCTCGACATAAGCTACAAGAATATGTAATGAGAAATAGAGAGTTCTACTTAAAAAATTCAAAGTGACCTTGTCCTGACCTTGACGACGCCACTCAGGGTCAAATCAATGTTATCATCTTATATCCCCTTCAAAGCCATACAACTTTCTGAAATATTTTTTTCTAAAATAAAAAATAAAAAAGTTATTTGGGGTGGAACATTAAAATGGGACACCCTGTGTACACAGGGTGTTACAAAAAAATCATTATACTATATATAGTATATATATGTGTGTATACATATGTACATGCATATACATACATATATGTATATATGCGACACAATGATAATTTATGATTACCATTGATATTTGAATAACCGACCTCAGGATTAAAAACAATATTTATATACAGTCCGATTTTATATTTAAAATTATCTTAATGTGTTTTTAAGATTTCATTTAGCTAATAAAATGATCGTATAGCGTCTTAATTAAGATCATATATAAAATGTAAATTTATAGTCGGACTGTAAATATCGTCCTAGATATGCAGCAACGTTATACCGTGTAAAGCCGCGTCCCCACGAGAGCATGCGGCTCAGACACAGCCGGCGGCAAAAGCTACATTGCCGGCGCCACAATGCATCGACCGTGCCGGAAGCCGCGCGCTCAATGCCGACGGCCCGTTCTTCGCTCATTCACTCAGTCACGGCTCGATCGCCATCATGGAGAGCGTTACGGAATGGCCATATGACAAGGTCCTGCAGCTGATCGTGATGTTTCAGCAACGACCAATGCTGTGGGATACTCAATGTGACGCTTACAAGGACCGGCAGAAACGTCACGAGGTCACGCTCGAACTCGCGACACATTTCAATGTCGAGAAAGATGAGATTGAGCGGAAACTGAAGAATCTTCAGAGCCATTTCTATCGCGAGGTCAAAAAAGAAAAATCTAAATCATCGGTCGGCAATGGTACGATCGGAGTTTATCGCAGTAAATGGTTCGCCTACCAAGCAATGAAATTCTTGGAAGAAAAGAGTAAACCAAGACGAACTCATATTCAAGTTGGCAATAAGACTCTGGCAACACGGCAAAAGCCGACGGCGTCCCGCGTGTCGATAGCAAAACACTGCAGCGATAAAAGTCGCTTCAAGAAATTGGGTAAGAAAAAATATCTGTTTAAATTTTAAGTATTATATTTTTTTCTTATACTTTTTATTTTGTACGCGATTGAATTTATATACGTATTCTTATCAGAGTTGGGTATAAGTGCCTAGTTAAAAAGATGAAAGTTAAGTTAAAAAGTTAAAAAATTAAATAATTTTAATTTAACTTAATTATATTTTAGGCTCTTAACTTTTAATTTAATTTAGTTACATTTTATAAGTAACCATTAACTTTTGATCTAACTTTCTTGAAGTTACATTTTCAGTGCTACTTGTAAACCCAAAATAAAATACTTGTCTATGTTAGTGTCTTCAAACACAAATCAAATTTGAGAACACAAATCAAGGCAATTGTAATAATATAATAAATATAGTCTGGCCGCGGGAAGGAATTACTGTTTGCGGACCTTCTGTGCATTAAATCACGTTGGAAAAAGTTCGAAATCGGTCCTTTTTCCGCGGCTCAATAGAAATAAGTGTAACAAATATACACTTTATTTAGAAAGTTTATTTAAAAACCTTAAAATTATAAAATAAAAAATTCAGCTTTAACTTTTCTATTATTTTTTGTTATTAACTTTTAACTTAATTAATTTTATTATGGGCTAACTTGTATCTTAACTAATTGTAAGTTAAATTTTTAGACTTTTAGATTTTTAACTTTAACTTAACTTAGCGAGTTAAAAAAATATATTAACTTACCCAATCCTGATTCTTATAATGCCGTAGTTTTTATAATTGTAAATCACGCGCCCTCAAAGTTCCTCTCCCCTTTCAATTAATTCTCTCTGACTCTCTCTGATCCTTTTATGTTCTGCATCATCCGATGATTCGTCATATTAAACAGCATCGGAACATGAAATTACAAATACGGTCGAATTTCTACGAATTAAGATATTTACATTTTAATATTCGCGTGATATTTGTATTTTAAACAATAGTTTTTTTTCATCTTTGTTTGCTAGTCATATTAACATGTAGATCTCTTATGAAAAAAGTTTGTATTTTTCTGCAGTTTCTCTATAATATTTACTTGAATAAAGTTCTGGTTATCTATTTATTATTTACAGTATAATTTTTTCCATCAGTATCTAAATAATTGATCAAATTCTCTAGTAAACAAAATGATTTGAGTAACCATAGTTCGCGATTTGAAATAAAATTCAAAAGATCTTGAATTTTTATTTTTTCCTATCTTCTTTTTTTATGTTTATATATTTTTTATAAGAATTATTTATATTTTACTTCTTCCTGATTGCGTAGAACACGAGGTGAGAAACTCATCTTTACGGGAGGTTTCTACGATCAAAAACGAAAACACTGCATCTACCGTGAACGATTTTTTATATATTGATGCAAATCAACAAAATAACCTGGATAATAGTCAGATGGATTATTGGGAGGAAAAGTCGATCAGTAGTCAAGATCCAATCGAATTCGCGATGCAAACGAATGAGGCTCAACAACAGCAATCGCAGCATATTCGCAACTTCGAGGACAACCGGCCGAATGAGAAAGAACTCTCGACTCCTTGCAAACAAGACGTGAAGACGCTGAGATCCAAGGATACGATTGCACCCGCGATCGACTTTCTCCTCACGGAATTGAAGGCTCATGGCTCGAACGATCCGGAATTGATTTTCTATCGGAGTCTCATCCCGGATATTATGAAACTCTCCGACAAAAAGCGCAGGCAATTCAAGGAAGTGGTACTATGCACGTTGAACAAGCTTCTGGATGAGGATGAGAATGCTTGTCCAATGAAAATCTAAGATCGACCTCACGAAATTCGACAGGAACGTATAGATTTATATCGTGTGATACGAATTGTCTACGAAAAGCTATTGCTGATGAAGAAGATTCTACGAGGTCTCTCAAGAGTTTCTCTGTCACGGATCTACATTGGAATTTACATTTCTTTTTTAATTATAGAAATAAAGATGATACTTTTACAATTTGTCTTTAAATTGCAACTTAATTATTACATTTTAATCGGATCAAACAAACCGCAAATATTATCGAATGTGTACGAACAATCTTTTTCGAAGAGTACGAATAATATTGACTAATACTGAGTGTGAGTACACTTTGATGAGTATCGTTCTTGCATTCGAAGCAAGTTTTTCATTCGTGTTTATTCACATTTGTTTTATGCTTGATTATCCGAATTTATTGGATTTAGTCTATCTATTCGATTAATTCTGAATTGTTTTAAAATTGATACATTAAATTTGATCCAGTACCCAGATTCTGTAATTCTTATCAATAATTTGTTAAGGGTACCTTCTGCGCGTTTAGTTGTTTGCGCTTTGATTATTAATTATCCATATAATTAAATATTTAATTAACATTCCGATCAGATTCGACTTTCCACTTGCTCGTTTCAGGTCGGAAATAATTTAAATATCTAAGTCGATTTACGTTACAATTTAATTCAATTTTTTATTGCACACAAATAAGTACTTTTCATTGATACTTATAACAATTACTTTACGTCAAGAAATATTTAAATGCACTTAAATATTAAAAAAAAGATAAAACTTAATAAATACTGCTTAATAAATATTACTCCTCAATAAATACCGCAGATAATTATTATATGGATAATTATTATATTATTATGTTAGGTATTCTATTCATATTTAGCGCTCTATATAGAATTATTAATTATACCGATGGCGCCTCATCGTAGGTTGGTATTGTATGTATGATTTTTCAGTTGGCAGCGATGCCACGTTTTTAAGTTCTGTTCAATTGTTAACGAGAGCGAGTAAAGACACGATTTTTCTAAGAAGTAATAAGTATAGTTTTATTCCGTAATCCCTACCGATATTACATCCTACATTCAAGCTCTAATAAATAAATAATTTTTGCAAAATTTATATTGTAAAAATCTAAATGTTTCAGTTTCATGTATAGATCTGTCTCAACGTAATTATTTAGCAAAGACGAATTATTGTAATTATTGTAAGCATTAATAACCTGCAAGGTGCAATTTCCATTTTTAGTGCATGAGTGTTTAATGAAACTTTGCAAATGTTTTTCTTCAATAGCTTTATTTATAATAAAATAATTTTATTAATTAAAGTAACGATTTAAGCTCAATAAATTAAGAATTAATCAAGGTTTGATAATCAAGGACAAATAAGCCAAAAGCTAGATATTATAGTAGCCAATAACAAACTTATATTTCGAAAAAGATATAGACATTTCGGCTTACATTAAGCCATCAGTGGATCAATATAATTCAATTTAATTTAATATAAAATAATTAAAAACATATTAACGCAGAATTTCTATTATTTGTCATATATCGCAATTACAATAGTAGAAAAAAATTAAAGCATATATATATTTACGCAGATTTTTTAAATGTTTGCCATAAATCACGATGGTAATTCCTTAGAATAATTCACGGAAATATAAATACGCTTCGTACAGTTTCTGATATGTCGTCGTTGCATTACACCCAAGTCACAGTCAAGCAGCTAGATGAGAATGAGAATCCAGTCATTAATTAAAATTAATCCAATATAAGGAGGCAATAAAACTGTAAGATGGTTAAGGGATATGTAATTAAGGATAAGATCGTTAAAGATATTAAGAAAAGAAAAAATAAGGCTTCAACTGATTCGATAATTATTGTCGAGACTATAAAATGTTTATTATACATTTTTTATATACATTTTTTTTCCTATCTCTTTGCTATATTAATAACAGATTATATCTTAGATATCTTATACGATACTGTACAAAAAACATATAATTACGATTGATATTTTACAAAAAATGTTTATTTTCACACAATCTTAATTTTTAATAATTTTAGCAAAGTACTATTTTATTTTTAATTTATTAATGGATCAGTGGATAGGTCTATAACATATTGATAGTCGACGTGCTTGTTTGTCTGCAAACAGATCATTTATATATTTAATAATCAATGGACATTATACAAATATCGTATGTATTAAGGGTGCACAATGAGTAATAAATGATTTAAATGTAGCAAAATACGATTAGTTTTGAAATGCTAAAAATGCACTTATATTTTTTGTAAAGCAAATAAAATAAAATTTAATTTGCAAAAAGCAACGAAATCCTTAAAAAAACTTTATTTAAAAAGAGAAAAAATATATACGTCAAGTATATAAAAAAAGAGAAAAAGTATCAAATATTAAAATTCTTAATAAATCAAATATTTAAAAAAATATGTAAAAATTGCATACTTTTTTTGCAAAGCAACTGTGTATTTTTTTTTATATCAATCGATTTATCTCATTATTCTGTGTATAAAAGTAACAATTATCAAGAAATCAGTCATTTATGAAATATTTCACATTTTATGTTGAAATAGATTGCTTATAAATTGTCTGCACATATGTATATGTATGTTCCTATCGTCTTGCATTTTATTGGATCCAACCCAAAACAAAAGTTGCGCGGTGATACCTGCGCGAAGACTCAGTTTTTCGCTGAGTGTATTTATTGGTTATACTGTGGTCATACTAGACCCGTTCTATAATATGTTATATATCGGTGTTTTAAGTCATAAACCGTGATAATTCTACAAAATATGTTATATGCCGATATTGTAAGCTGTAAAAATTTATCAGTTACAGCCGAATTTGAAGAGAATACATGATTTGAAGAGAATAACGGCCGACCTACCGTTGACAACGGAAAAGTGTTGACAACGAATTTTGTGTTGCGTGCCATTTTGTTATTATGTGCTTAATTGTGAAAATGTGACTTGTCTAGTATTTATCAAAGTCGTAAAAATGGATGGAAATTATAATTATTATCGAATTTTATACGTAAAAGTATCTTTTCCATTCCTTTCAACAGCTGTCAAATCGTAAGTTTTCTTGCCTGAATAAGCTTCACTTTACGTGCCTTTTATATTATTTACTGACTTTCAGGGGGAAAAAGGATAGTTTACATCCATTTTTATAAGTTTTTTAAAGCGATCCTATTTATTAATTTTATCTAAATCTTCTTTATTTAAAAATGGCACGCAACAAACTTTTACGTGTTATTTCTCGCTTATGATGTCACGAGTCTAATATGGCCGCGGTAGGCAGGAGGGTTAACTTGACTGAAAAAAGTCGACTATTAGCCGGCAAACAGCCATTCGTGCTGTGTGGGCGGATTGAAAACAATAAGTTTATTCAGTACCAAAATACAAAATTATTAGGTCTACACTCGCGTACTAGACGTGCCCGTTTCAGTCCTATGCCGTTCCGTTGAGTCTTGCATGCCATCTGATTACGGGGCTGCACGCGAATAGAGCTTCACTTTGTTCAATTTCCGTCGACTCAGTGGTTTCAGAATCGACCGATAAAGGCCGATCTTTGGAAGCCGGTTACTAAGATATAGGAGGTGTATGTAGGAGAAAGAGAAAGAGAAAAAAAGATAGATTAAATGAAAGTGTATTTGCCGAATAGTACGTAAATTAATTATCAAAAATCGAAAGTATCAATAATAACAAGATACGAAAGCGAAGGTCTGCAGTTGATGCGCGCGTGTGTGTGTGTATGAGGTAAGCAGGGGTCGATCGTATTTAAAATAATATTATTTAAAATATGTATTTTAAATAACAAAAAGTAAAAGAATTATTTAGTATTTATTATTTTAAATAGCTTCTCCTGATCTATTTTATATTTAATATTTTAAATATGTTTTTGAAATCTATTTTATATTTTTCAACATTTTTAATAAGTCGTGTTTTTGGAATCTATTTTATATTTATTATTTTAAATAGGTTATATCTAGAGATGAAAATGACCCAATCTGACGATAATTTATTTGGTAAATTACGATAAATAGTAAGGTAATTTTGGGGATTTGGTAAAATGTGTAATTTAAAAAAAACTAAAATAAAGTTTAAAAGAACTTAGCAGAAAGAAATTTAGCATTAAGAATGAATAAACACTTTATTTAATTATTTAATGTTTTACAGATCTGTAATAGATAAATCTTTATTTACTTTATATTATTACAGCTTAACTTATATTTATCACAATTTTGCGACTATTAGTATCTGTATAAAATTTTTTATAAGTTATATCAGTTACTTTACCGATTTCTGCTTATCAGGAATCGGTCCTATTTTAAAAAAAACATTATTTAAAATATGTATTTTAAATAAAAAAAGTAAAAGAATTCTTTAGTATTTATTATTCTAAATAATTTCTGATTTATTTCTTATTTAATATTTTAAATATGTTTTTGGAATCTATTATATATTTTTCACTTTAAATAAGTCGTATCAGTTTTTTATTGGCCCCTGCGATATTTTATTTTAAATAAGTTTCTGAAATCTATTTTATATTTGTTATTTTAAATAAGTTGTATCAGTTATACCGACCCCTGGAGGTAAGCGTTTTGTAACGGAAACGAAAGTCGGTTAGGGCTGCGAGAAAGGCGAAGGAAATTGATAGGCAGACGAGGTATATGATTTAAAAAATCGATGTGGTATGTATGTGTGGCGGGCGTGCGATAAATATAGTAGATTAGACATAAGTTAGATGTAAGTTAGAAGTAAGATAGATGTAAGCTAGAATTAAATGCGCGGTGTAACATATTATAAATAACTTGTAACCCTAAGAGAAATCAATAAAGCTATATATATATTACCAAAAAAATCAGACCTAGCATATGTTATCATAAAACGGGTGTAAAGTGATTAAAATGACTAACGAGAATAGCGAAGCAAAAAACTTGGCGTGCCTGGAAAGAAAACACAGTTGCTTTGCAAAAAAAATGTGTAAGAATCGAATATTTTTTTGCAAAGCGACTATGTGTTTTCGTTACACCAATCGATTCATCTCATTATTCTATCATCAATTCTGTGCATAAAAGTATTAAAAGTATAATTATCAAAAAATCAATAGTTTATAAGATATTTCATATTTCATATCGAATATATAACATGATCAGATATACATAGTATTAAATATCTCGT